GTGGTCTTGGCACGTTGAATCATGTTCACTGCAAACAACAAACAACAATATTATTTAGATATACAAGTCTGTCCCTTGATATTGGGTCCCCATAAAACAGGAGACTGTCTCCCAATCAAGGTTTTTGGTCATGGGTGACAGTCTAATTAATGACTGGCATAGCAATCTTACCTTATGTGATGGGGGATTTACATAATTCCCTGCATCATCTGTTCATTGCCCTTGTACTGATCCATAAGCTCCTTCACGGGTATATTGTCGCCATATCGATCTAGGAGTCTGTAGAACATGCACATACCCAGAAATACTACCACTACAAAGAAAACACTTCCAATCCACAGCCACTTTATCAGAAACGAGACACTGTCCTGGATCCATCCTCTGTCCTTAATGTCATCGTCCGGGGCTAATTCATCATCCAGTGGCTTATCATACTGATACTTAGCGTCCTGATCCTCGTTCCTCTCAATCTGATCTTCATGCGTGTTCTCCTGAGCTGTAAAGTCATCTAGATCAGATTGTGTGGCAGGAAGTGTATATGCATTCGCTTCCTGATCGCCATCACTCCTCTCCTCTTCTATAATATCCTCATTCACATCATCCTCCAAAAGCATCTCCTCACCGACTTTTTTCTCCTCCTCAGCGGCAGCCCTCGCACTCAGGGGAATGGGAGCTGCAGACAACTCCGAGAAATAAAGGGCCAAAAGAAGCAGAACAATCGCCTTTCTCAACATCCTGAATTCATCGGTATATGCATGAACCGTAGAAATGCCAAGAGACGATGATTGACATGACTCTGGCGCGGGCCGTGTATACCCTCCCAGTATTGTGCTGTCATCTAGTTGTTTCTAGGCCCCTCCCATCAGCATATTTATTTACAGTCTAGTTACTTTTTGTACAGTTGTGACTGTTTGAAGGCCCCCCTACATCAGCCAACTGTCATAAACTGTCCTAAGGGCCTGTTCACATGAGTTTCAGGTCCTGATCAGGCGCGGATCAGCAGACGCGGTGCTATGTGTTTTGCCATGTTGTTTTTTTTTTTTTTTTTTCTGGAGTGGGGCTGTCAGTATGTTAGCTGCAGTGCAGTGTGTTTTTGACGCATTTTTTATGCGTTTCGGGACTGTTTCCTGACCGTACAAAATGTGACATGCAGTATTTTTTCTGTCGTAACCTGAACGGACTGCACACGTGAGAACTGTAGCCCATATAACACATAGTGATACATTGGGATGCATTTTTAGTGCAGGAGCGTACGGATCAGGTCAGCACAGAAAACGGACGTCGTGTGAACAGGCCCACCTTTTCGCTGTCAAGGCGTTTTTGCACACATGTCTTAATCCACAATGTAGCCCTGAAAATTACTTAAAACCCCCAAAACATGATATATTCTTAAAGCAAAGACCCTGTAGAAGAAAATGGTGGCAGTTACAAATTTTTACGTCGTACGATATTAGCGCAACTCTTTATAAAACCCCAAATCTTAGTAAAAAATATACTTAAGCTGATTTTAGTGGTCAAAAACACAACATAATACCAAATGTTTATCTAAAATATAAAGGATGAGGTTACAACGAGTAAAAAGATACCCAACATGCCAAGGTGAAAAATCATGTGCGTTCGTGAAACGGAGACAAAATACGGTAACCCAAATTGTCCATAAGCAAAGCTTTAAAAGCCCGTACAGGTCATCATTTCAGACATGTCGCTGAATATTGGCCCAAGAATTATTGTTCTCACTGATCTCGTTTTAATAGCTTCTTATCCGGCTTTTGCAGCAGGATTGGAAGTGATGCAATCAGCATCGCTTCCGGCCCCATTCAGCAGGGAGACCGGTGACTGTATGCATGTTCGCAGGTCTCCTTTCCCGCTTCCCGCCGATAGCTGTGATGCCGGTCCCGGGCCTGCAGGAGGGGCAGTGGAGACCAGCAAACAAATAAGGATTTCTAATCTGTAGTTCCTGTTACACATATTATTTACTGGCCACACTGATAGATAGATAGATAGATAGATAGATAGATAGATAGATAGATAGATAGATAGATAGATAGATAGATAGATGTAGATAGATAGATAGATAGATGTAGATAGATAGATAGATAGATAGATAGATAGATAGATAGATAGATAGATAGATAGATAGATAGGTAGATATAGATAGAGAGATAGGTAGATAGATAATAGAGATATAGATAGATACTGTAGACAGACACCTTTACTTGTGTGCTTCATATGCTTCTATGTGCGTTGTCAACAATCCCTCTTGATATGACCTTCCAAACGTCAATAAGGACGGATTGGTAGAGCAAATACTGGAGTGCCGGTGACTTCTTCATCTACTACCAATTGATTTGCGGCGCCATCCTTGGTCACTGCAGCACCCACCCGCGGATTGTATCAGTCAGGAGTGCACGAAGACCCACTTGTATGGTTATCACAGCGATTGCAATGTTTACATTGCCAAGCCCTCCCCTTCCTCTTACATCATTACTTCCCAGTACAAACAAGCTGCAGCAGCAAAAAAATAAATTTTAAATAATCTTAAGCCTTTTAACCCCCCTCCTCTCCTGCTTATGTTATCTGCATTCTGATTCTGCTCTGACCTGTATATTAACCTTTTCACCTCCCTTATCCTGCACATCTTTACATTAACCTCTTTCATCCATACAACTTAACCCATCTCCATCCTCCCACTGAATGTGAACTGAACATTAAACCCCTTCACCCTCTTGTGCATTATTACCAAGCTCCGTGTTTTAACCCCCTCAATACCGGCATGTGTCTTCATTTCCAAAAAGCTGCGGCAAAATATCAGATCGCCTTGAAGTGTCTACTTGCCAAAAAGGGGGTGTCAGGGGTTTCCGTACTATGCTGACATTTTTATTTGCTATTATTTATAAACGTAACCAAGAGAAATAGGCTTTTTTTTAAAAAAACATTTATTTTTAATTTTGTATGGTAAACAATTTTACAGAAAGGTCTATTTGTCCCCAAAAAATGAGATGCAATTCATTTTGTTACAATGTTGCGTGAGGAATTCTCAGCCGAACTTGCACAGAGCTGAAAAATAGTGCTTGAAAATGTGCAGCACAAAACACCTCCACACCCCATAGAAAAGCTATGAAGCAGATACAGGGATAAGGGCTTATGATGTCAGAGATGATACTGCTTTCCAAAAAAAAACACCTAAAGTTTGACAAAGCTTAAAAACGCAAATGAAAATGCTTCAAAAACGCACACAAAACAGCTTAAAAATCTCCTGAAGATAGCTCAGGTGTACATGGGTGTTAAAAAGGGACATCCTGTTGATTTGAGGAGATCTCCACTTACTTCCTGTTGTGGTTCCAGGATAGAAGTGAAGGGAAATCTCCCCAATGGGACACAGACTTATGATATAAAATATACATGGATAATATACAATGTTTAATATAAAAATGTGATCTAGTCATAAACATGGTGAATAAGCTTTAAGGTGGGCAACAGTCGCTCTATGGATATTACTAGGGATGCATCGAAATGACATTTTTAGACTGAAACCGAAACTTCAACATTTGTCAGGCCAAAACCGAAACAAAACATGACCTTTTTTCCAACCTGTTTTACATTTTTTTATTTTTATAATTTTTTTAACTGTTAGGGCTTTGAGGAAATATCAGGGGTTTAAGCAGACCCCTGATATTTATCTGTTTAAAATAGAAAAAGATATTGAGGACAAGAGTCCTCCAGTCTCTTTGTCAACAGCTCCAGTACAGAGGCTTCCTGTTCATTCACAATCTTGAGATACTAAATATTTTGTATTGATCCAGTCATGAATGGACAGGAAGCCTCTGTACTGAGCTGCTTCCTGTTCATACATATAGTCATCAGATAGTAAATATTTACTATGTCCCCATTTATAAATTAAAAAGGATGTGATGTAAAGCACTTCCTGTTTATTCATAACTGGGTTCATAGTAATCACTATGTCCTCAGTTATTTACAAATCGGAATGATTAGTACTGATCACTCGGTTTTTGCTCAGTAAAGGGAAAAGGGAAGGATTGCTAAATATTTAACATATTTACTGATCCTAAAGTTCAGCCTCCTCCCGCAGGAGCTTTCTGCCCCATTCGGCTTCCTGACAGCTTTCTCCTCCCCGCTGGGAGCTGGATTGGCACTGTGTCCCCTATGATCCCCGCTGCCCCTACCGACACAGGCAGGGGAGAGCAGCGGGGATCGGAGGGAACACAGACCAAAGTTTGCAGCAGACACCCAGCTGGGAGGAAAGTAACTGGGGATGCGCCGCATTTTCGTCCGTTTTTATACCATCAGCATCTTGTCCATAGTACCATTTTCAGCCAAAACGTTTCAGCGGATGAAATTTCGGTGCATCCCTTGATATAACAATGTTCAACATTCTCTAGTTGTATCCGGAGTATGACAGAAGTTAGAGGCTAAGGGAAGTCAATCAGGTGCCTATGTGCCAGTTAAGTGGCTCTTCCAAATTAACAAAACATCTGATTGGTTAATCTAGGCACCAGCCTAAAATTCAACTTCAGCCCAAAGTTTTTTGGTAGTTCTGGATAGTGTAGAAGGCCAATATTAAAAGCTGTCCATGTCCCCATATGGGAACGTTAATTCAGTTCCTGTTCTGTCTGCCACCTGGATAAAAAGGGAGGACGTATTTGCCCAGTGGGGACAAAGCAGTAAAATCCTGACCGAGATTGTAACCCTTCCTCATTCTACTAAAGTGTCCCCATGGTTGGCCACCATATTATAAAAAAGGAGATGATGTAATAAGATTGTTAGGTGTAGCTTTAGACTCATTTGTATCAAAAACAAAAAAAAAAAGAAGAGTTGATTGGCTGGGCTCTAACTTTTGCTCCACTTTTACATACACCAGATGCTCAACTTGCACCAATATCACCTAAACATATGCAGAGATTTAGTTTATTTTTTAGATTCCTGTCATGAGGTCTGTGCTCGTAGAAAAGTGTCTTTTTTTGGAGGGCTGAATGCAGACCCTTAAAACTCTTTATACTGGACAAGGTTAGCCATGTAACGCTTAGCATAAGATCCGCTCCTCCATGTTTTTAGCTTAGAGTCAAACTTTTGATGGGCAAAAAGTTCAGAGGGATCTAGATGAGTGTTGACAGAAACAGCAGCCGCTCGTTCTCGCCATTGGAACTGGAAGAGGTGGCGTTCAACCTTCTTCTGGCCCCATAACTTTGCCAGGCCAAGAGCGGTGTGTCCGTTTTCATTGACGTCTTGAGTTTTTGCTCCGTTTGCTAAGAGTTCATCTACACAGTCACACTTGCCCATAGCCGATGCCACATGGAGTGGGCTGTTTCCAAGCTTGGTCTTGGCCAGTACATCGGCTCCTAAATATAAAAACAGAAACAAGAAATATAAATAAAAAACTTAAAGCTTTTATCCTAAATATCCTAAATAGTGCCATAAATGCCAATACTGTATATTCATTTCAATACTGTGCATTTCAATAAAGCATATGGTTAATGTTTCAATGCTTAATCTGATTATTAGCCAGGAAAAGTAATGAAACCTAATTAGGAAATTTACTGGCAAATGATAAATGTAACAAGTTACTCTTTTGTTTAAAAATCAGTCCACCGAAAAGTGATGTTAGCAATTGGGTAGCTCCTGACTCCTTATATGACATGGATACTCCACCAGTGAGATATCCCTGTTACTAGGGCTGCAGCTAACGATTATTTTCATAATCGATTAGTTAGCCGATTATTCAGTTCGATTAATCGACTAATCGGATAAAAAAAAAAAGACTCCAGTGATGGACTACTAGTTTCTATTGAGATTGTAGTCCATCACAGGAGCAAAAGAGTGTGGTGTGCAATATAGTACTCCTGTTACCATTTTTTAACTCTGTTCCTGTCCACATGGGAATTGCGGGTGTATTCACACCTCCTGTTACATTCTCTATAATATAAGAAAATATGGAAATTCCAAGAGGGACCCCTTACTATGGCCACATCAAGTGTGCAGACCCAGGAACCAAAGCACAGAGATCTAACCAATAGAGCCCTCCGAGAGACATAAGGAACAGGTTAGTTCTCCAACACCTACCAAAAACTGAGATATCCATTTTGGGATGGGCTGATCCTTAAAGAAGAAAGCCAGTTTTGCAACAGCCTGCATGGATCTGAGAAGATATAATCATCTTCTGGCACTTTGAGGTGGGCACCCATTTTCAGATTATGTTTAACAGGCATAGTTTGTGTCTAGCTGGCTCATAATAAATAATGTCTAGACCAGGGGAAGCAAGCAGCTGTCCCATGAGACATTGCGAGACTCTGACACCCACAGGCTTAACAATGATGGGATTGTTTTTTTCACCACAGCTGGAATGCCAAGGTTGCCTACCCTTGGTCTAGAGCAGGAATTTGCTTTGGAGTGTCGGTGTCCATCTTTTACTTCACTCTGGTCCAGGCGCCTCTACAAGACATGCAAGGGAGCTGTAAGCAATGCATGTATAGATGGAGCTCCCTTCGCGGCCATACCCCCAGCATATTTTGAATGGCTGCTCTGCCTGAGAACTGACAGTGCTGTGCTGCGCTGGGGGAGGCTGAGGAGCCTCTCACTTAACACAGTGGAAGGCACACGGCGACCCACTGAACATGGGTTGCGACCCACCAGTTGAGAACCAAAGCCCTAAACCATCAAACTCTTATTAGCTATATCAACAAAGCCATTCTTTGTGGGTGTGCATCACACTCCATAAATAAGATATGTGGACGGCATAAACTCTATGCAGAATTATTCCGCTTCCATAGGGGTAATTGGGATAATATATGTGCCAAATATGTGCCTCTTTATTCCAATGTGTCTGTAAAGAACCAGGGGAAGCAAAACCCAGGCCAGCAGGAGAGGTCCACCACAGGCCAGGATTATCTCGTGTTGGAATATGATCCAACCTGTACACCTAATTGCATTACCCCCGGTGATGTATTTTCTTAGAAACTGTCAACAATCTCTACCCACCAAAATGAGAATTCTGCAGGGCAACCTATATCACATCCTGACCTAGGTGTTCACCAGAGAACTACATGTCTGAAGTACCCTTAAACTACACTCACAGTTTTGGAATGTAGATAGAGCAGTAGGCTGTGACAGACCAAGGGGTTGGGGAGTCCACAGAGAAGGCCCACCCACAGCACCAGCACTACCTTGTAAGCGCAAACACATAGAGCTTTAAAAAATATGTTTTAAAAGCATCTTACCATTCTTTAAAAGAAAACTTATTATGTCCAGGTACCCTCGGTGCGCAGCAATGTAAAGGGCCACACTGGCTCTTGCCGCTATCCACTCATCCCTCTGCTTCACACTAAACCTCAAGGAATTTTCTGTGTTATAGGAACAGCCTGTAGTGACTCCTAAACATTTCAGCTACAATGAGAAAGAGAAATAATAAAAGGCATACACTTACACATGTACTAACCTAGCATAGAATGTTGCTGGTGTGGACCTATAGAGGCACTCTAGTCAGGTAGAAAAAAAAAATCTTGTCAATTTTAGGGGCCACTACCTTTTAAATTGATGCATGGGCCATCCTTGAGTCCTGCCATTGTTCCCTACATAACATAACTGCTTTATACAAAGGGTGAATGCAAATGAAGATTTAGAAATTATGGAAAAGGTAGACAATCTTGGCACTCCAGCTGTGGTGAATCCTCCAACCCCATCATGCCTCGGCCTCCAGAAGTCATACCTGTGGCTGTCAATGTCTTGTAATGCCTCATGAGATGTGTAGTTTCACCACAGCTGGAGCGTTGAGGTTGCCTACCCTTAAATTAGGGTGTCAAATGTGAACCACTGGGTGACAAGGAGCGAGTTCAATGGGAATAAAAAAAACTTGAAACTAACAAAAAATGAAAGGTCTACATAGGCAGGACAACATAAAAAAAAAAAAAAGAACTAATCTGTTTCAATTACGTGGGTTAAAAATAGAGTTTTTTTTGCATACATTTGCAAATGCAAGTTGAAGCCACACTGTCATGTCAAGGCACTTCTAATACGATCCCTAACCCAAAACGATATGAGTTCCCAACTATAGGACATATATAGCAATGCAAAAACATAGGGCAGGTTCACTTGGAGGCTTCCCTAGCCTCAGAAGCCCAGAAATAGCCAATGCCAAGCAGCTGAAGACCTCCAGCATGTGTCTGCACCAAATCTAAAAGATTCTGGGCTCCTAGGGCATTACTGTGCCCCAAAGGAGGAAGTGGCTGCCTCCTGGTAAGTCTGCTCTCTGTCTGTACATTGTTATATATGTCCCATAATTGGGAACTCAGATAGGTCACAGTTAGGGACCATTGCCTTGACATGGTAGTGTCCCAGAAGAAATATATGTGAGGCCCTGGACTCTCATCTTTCGCCTGAGAGACAGGAAGTGGTAGTTAGACATGGTGGATTTGCTTTGACAGCTCAACAACAAAACAAGGGGTATGCCACAACATGGGGGGCCACTTGAACTGAGAAATCTACTGTATGTAGAATCGAGTACCAAGCCATTAACTCGTGGTCCACAATCTTTTATTGTTGACAATAATATGACAAGCTTGTCTTCATGTTGTTGGATTATTATCAACAATAAGGAATATGGACTCTCAAGTTGATGGTTTGGCGCTTGATTTTTTTAAAATTTTATGTTGACCGGGCAGTGTGGCTTCTACAGGTATATGCAAATATATGTGCCTGAGTAGCTGAAACTCATTTTTTTGATGGCCTTAAAGTCTGCCAGAGAAAATTTGTATTGTGTTCCATAGGAATCTGAGATTTGGGTTTCCTGTTACAGTATGGAAAAATGGAAAATAGGTGTGTAAGGGGAGGGTGGGCACTCAAATGTGACTCAATCTGCCAAACACAGGTTAATCTTAATGGCAAATTCACTTTATAAATCCAACAAAAGATCCAATAAGGTCCCTGTAAATAGACATCCTCCATTTTATTATATTGTGATATATCTGCCTTTCTAACCTTCATTAAAAAGGGGGAGTCAAATACCCCTCTTATGTGATAGCAGACAATGGGGCAATCAGGTATTGATGGATAAAAAATTCTCATAAACCTCTGCCAAGTTTCCTCCAGCTGCAGCTTTTACAAGATCGCTCCAGCCTTCCCGCGACCAGATGCTCAGACAAACAGTTCCTCCATGAATAATCGCATTGAATTTAAAGGTAGACGAGTCAGGCATGTCTCCTGTACAAAGAAAATCACACAGCGGAGAAATGCAATAAGAAACACTGACGCCACCTATAGAGATGCTACACAGGGGAGCTATTTCAACTGAGTGCAAAAAATGCTGTACAAGTGAATAGTCACTGCATATTTATTACAAGCTGAGGGTATCACTATCAACTCTCTGAAGGACACTGTCTGCCTTTTATAAATGAATTCATAAAATGCAGTTGGTGATACGAAACCTGCAGTGTCTGTTGGAGTATTCTCTGCATAATGCTTCAGAGATTACTCCATGACAGGAGAGCCTAGTCAAATGACTTGGGCTTTTCTTGCCCCGGCACTTTGCACCCCTATTCATTAAAATAAATAGTCCAGTGCTTGCTTGGAGACCTTGAAGCACTGAATGCAAATCTCTAAAGTACAATGCTGTGCTTTATAAATCTGCCTTTTTTTTGAATTGGTAAAGCCGGGGTAATGCCATAAAATTCCTATCCCAACTCCACCTTGTGCTTGGCATCCTTTGGTGCCAGTACCTATCTTTTGACATCTCTTCTGATGTTTAAAGCCCATTTCCACCTTTGCAGAGGTATTTAAGTACCCCAATGTACCCCGAGTTTACATGAAGCAGGCATATGCAGTTGATGTGTATGAAAACAGAAACTCACATTTTTTGTTAGCTTTCGTCTTCATATTCTCATGGGAAAAGCTGCCACAGTTCTGTGCAAGTATTATGTGTACACTATATTGCCAAAAGTATTGGGACACCCCTCCAAATCATTGGATTCAGGTGTTCCGTGAAATTTCCTTGCTACTAAATATTTCACGGTCTACTGTTAGTGGGATTATAACAAATCCCACTAACTCATCGTGCCCTGAGCTGTCACCCCTGCTGTGTTCCCTCTCTACATCTTCACACCAAGTAAGTGCCCATATATGCCACAGTATATGTATGCAACAGATACATGTACTGTGTGCAATACATTCATATGTAGAGCAGATTTCTGATATTGCTTCTGTTCAATCCATGCTGCTGAAGCAGGATTGATAATTTTTATAGGAAATGTCATCAAGTTCTATGGCTGCAGCAAAGCTTCCTGTGCTTTCAATACTAGGGATGCACCTATAGATAATTTAACAAACAGGATATGTGCTATGGAACAATAAACCTATTAGCTGCCATGCTAAAAAGTGTAAATAACACCTAAAAAAATGAATTATAAAAGTGCACTGCGCTTTATAGACCAACTACATATACAATCTAATGATAATCTACCTGTGAAATAAATATATAAGTATGCAGAATCACCCTATGGTGAATAAATACATTATATAGTGGGAAAATACCTAATATGTATTTATTCACCATAGGGTGATTCTGCATACTTATATATTTATTTCACAGGTAGATCATTATTAGATTGTATATGTAGTTGGTCTATAAAGCGCAGTGCACTTTATAATTGTCTAGGGATGTACCTGCAATGATACCGATACCTGCACAGCCCACCTGGCACCATGTACAACCAGCCTGAGACCCGCACAGTCCGCCTGAGATCCTGTAATGTCCTCTGAGACCCTGCATATGAGTGTCCTCTCTCTCTCCTCGCTCTCCTTCCTGGCTGTCTCTTCTCTCTCTCTTCTGGCTGTCTCTCCTTGCTCTCCCTCCTGGCTGTCTCTCCTCGCTCTCCCTCCTGGCTGTCTCTTGTCGCTCTCCATCCTGGCTGTCTCTTCTCACTCTCCCTCCTGGCTGTCTCTCCTCGCTCTCCCTCCTGGCTGTCTCTCCTCGCGCTCCCTCCTGGCTGTCTCTCCTCGCGCTCCCTCCTGGCTGTCTCTCCTCGCGCTCCCTCCTGGCTGTCTCTCCTCGCGCTCCCTCCTGGCTGTCTCTCCTCGCGCTCCCTCCTGGCTGTCTCTCCTCGCTCTCCCTCCTGGCTGTCTCTTCTCGCATTCTCTCCTGGCTGTCTCTTTTCGCTCTCTCCTGGCTGTCTCTCCTCACTCTCCCTCCTGGATGTCTCTCCTCACTCTCCCTCCTGGCTGTCTCTTCTCACTCTCCCTCCTGTCTGTCTCTTCTCACACTCTCTCTTGGCTGTCTCTTTTCGCTCTCTCCTGGCTGTCTCTCCTCCCTCTCCCTCCTGGCTGTCTCTCCTCACTCTCCCTCCTGGCTGTCTAATCGTAAGGTGTATGGGCACCTTCTCTTCTTGCTCTCTCTTCTGGATGTCTTTCCTCGATCTCTCTCCTGGCTGTCTCTTCTTGCTCTCTCTTCTGGCTGTATTTCCTCGATCTCTCTCCTGGCTGTCTCTCCTTGTTCTCTTCCCTGGATGTCTCTGCTCACTCTATCCTGGCTGTATCGTCCCACTCTCTCTCCTGGCTGTCTCTCCTTGCTCTTCCCTGGCTGTTTCTCCTCTCTCCTGCCTGCCTCTCCTCACTCTCTCTCCTGGCTGTCTCCCCTCTCTCTATTCTGGCTGTCTCCTGGCTGTTTCTTCTCTCTATCCTGGCTGTCTCTCCTCACTTTCTTTCCTGGCTTTCTCTTCTCACTTTCTCTCCTGTTTATTCCCAAAAAGAATTGCAGTGTGCCGCTAGACTGTTCGTTTCTGATCATATGTTAGGCTATGTTCTCTTCTGGTTATACATTAGGCTAACGTATGACCAGAAGAGAACGTACCCTAACGTATGATCAGAGGAGAACGTACCCTAACGTAT